AATAAGAAGACATAATACAATTTCTATGATGTCAGAAAGGAGTATAACATAGGTTTGGAGATGCATAAAAAGGGACCAAGCAATATAATGGCATGTCTATATCCAAGGAGATATCCAAACCATGACCACCAGGGAAGGAAAATTTACATATTCTTAGCTCAGCCACACAGCTAACTGAGATTAATCATTCAGACACAACATGAATTTAGGCTATAGGCTCTGCCACCATTTCTTAAAGTTAACACAATACATTAATCATAGTATGTAAAACCAATTTTATTAATAATATGGACATTTTATCATGTAATTACAATGAACACTGTATTTTATTGTGATGGTTAAAGCCATTCTAACATCAGTGGTAATGTCCTTCATATTTTACTATTGTTAGACAACCAATTGCTCCCATTGTTCCCTCTGTTTGGGCTAGGCCTGCACTTTGTGGTAGAAGATTTTTTGCCTATGGAAATAGTACATATTTAAATGATTGGGAACTTTGTAAATTCTGTTGAACAATTTTAAAAGTTACAGCAATTTTGATGTAATTAACCTGAACTCAATTAAAATATTTATTAATGAGATGAAGAAATAAAATGAATCCCCCATTCCAAACACCTGCCTTATTTAGTATATTGAAAAAAGTAAATTCCCTCCAAATGGATGATCAAATATCTTTGAACAACAAATTACTTGTTCTGCAGATAATTTGAATAAAGTCCATAGAACCTAAACAGATTAAATTTGGTCTCATTAACTAAGGACAGAGTTCCAAATATCTCTATGTTTATTGGTGAAATACTGTTATGTTTAGGATGAACTAAGGCTGCAATTCTAAGCATTGGAGGGCTACACTGTGCATTATATACAGTACCACATAATGCAACATAAGCCCACGGCTCCCATCTCTCTTTGTCTCTTTAGTGAAAGCCACTTCAGGAATAAGATACTGAAGCTGCAGAAGCAAAAAGGAGAAAAAGAAGTGGGAGCTCTCCGCTATTCTGTCATGACTTTTTTGCTTAATTACCACCTTTCAATATGATGTCTCAGCAAGAACAATTCAGCTGGTTGTCATTCTACATATTTGTATGCAATGTACAGCTTAGGGAGTAAGTCCCATTTAACTCAGCCTAGCTGAAATAGGAGAAAACAGGCTTCAACTTTCTTTATACTTTTGCTTATATATTTTCTTTGTCTCCTAAATTCTACTTTTTTCAGCGTTTTGTAAAAAAAGTTTATTCCCTTTATCCCTGTTTAATATTTTGTACATTAATTTTCAGCGTCAATGTGACATATGTGACATAAGTATTAAGTTTCCTCAGGAAATAATTGGAATACCAATATTTTAAGATTAAAGATATGCTTAGCAAAGGTAATAGTTTTAACTTCCATACTTTACACTGGAACAACTCTTAATGTTGAGGAAACAAATAGGAATCTTTATTTAGGACTAAGTTCCAATCCAGAGATAGCACATTTTAAGTGTTAGAAAATAATTTGCCCGGTCACAGAAGAGGATTAATTATCTGTCATACTATTTAATGACAGCAGTTAGTTTATGTAGAATAATCTTGTATACACATATAAACAGTTGACCAGTGTTAGTAAAAGTGTATGATCTTTGCCTTATGAATGGAACACTCTATTCATATTTAAATAAAAATATAACCAGAAGAAAATATCTATTTGTAAGGCTATAATAAAAACTATTCTTTTGAACTCATTCTTCAAGCCAGGAATACTGGTATGTTCAGCAAAATGAAAGGATTTGTATACATCAAGGATGCGGAACCTCCCCACCAGACCTGCAGACTTGTCCCAAAGGCCTCAGGGTCAGCTGGTTCTGCATCGCAGAGTGGTGCACTTGCCTATGGATAACACTCAGCCCCAGGAAGTGGGTTGGTAAAGGTCCCCATCCTTGATTTATACTGTATTCCCCAGACTGTTTTTAAAGGTCAGATTTTTCCTCTCTTTTGTGAGGTTCTTTTTATAACTTTCTTATGCAGCAATACGTTGTCAGATATAAAGTTCTTAGAACATTAATGGAAATATTGACTTTGTCCCCCACTTCATCCCAAACAGCACATTTATTATCATGGTCAGTAATACTCAGCATGAAAAGAGAAGTTTCCCATGCAGATGGTGGCATAACATGGAGCTCAGAAAATACTTAAATAAGGATTTCTTGTTGAATTTTGATTTTGTTACTTCTGGTAAGAAAAAGGATTTCACCCTTATAAGAATTCCAACCGTGTATAAGAATTCCAGCTGAGGATACAGTCTGTGAAACATTATTCTCCTATTTAATACTCAGGCTAAAATTTACATACATTGATTTTTTTAAAAAAAAATCACTTTAATAGTAGAAAAAAATTAAATGTTTAGAACATTATCTGTAAAATATTCCCACAAACAAGGGAGTGGGATAATATAAATATTAGCTATAAGTTTGTAAAGATACTCCTGCTTTGTGTTTTTTAAGAGCCATTTAGTTTCACATACAACATTATATGCATAATTAACATTATGAGGACTCAGGCATGTCCTTTAATTAAGGCAACAATAGCAGAGAAATCATCTGCTCGCATTGGAAATGGAGCTCTGTCTGAATGCTGGTGTCCACACCGATGTATGGCAGGATAATGTCTCTCATTTGTATTTTTAAAAAGGGAAACCTCTCTCTGAATGAGTTCCTTGCCTTGTGCCTTTGCTTTTTTGATAAGCCTAAGTGCAGATTTAGGACAATATACATAAAGCATAAAAAGGCACTATAAAACATTGAATAAATGAAGGGCTTGTATAGGTATGCTGCCATATTTCTAAATGCATATCTTGGGCAGGACAAACTGTACATAAACCCCCACTTGGAAGTAGTTTTGGCAGATTTGCCAGATTTGAAAAGGGAATGAGTAGCTGTAGGTTCAAGTTTCACTGCAGGGGGTGGGGGGAGGGGGATCATTCCTCCCTGTGGCCAGCCATATATACAATTCACCAACCACCTTCTTTCATTTGGTTCGGCAGCTGGAGTAGACAGAATCAATTGGAAAAAGAAAGCTTGGTTGAGAGGCATTCAGAAACTGTTTCTACTATAAATGTTGTGGAATATGCTGCCACCATCAACTTTCAGGATTGCAAATTATAAAACATTCTGTGAGAAATGAAAGAGTATCATGTGTTTCAAGATCTTCCCATGGAAATTATCATATGAGCTCTGACCAAACCAAAACTCTGGAATAGCATTAATCATCTTTATATGAAGGAAATAGTACAAACACTTTACAATTTGTGGGTACTTTCACAGAATAATATAACATCCAGACAGTTTATCTATATAAAAAGAGGCAGAAATGAATGGAGTAAACAATTTAAATTGCAGCACAATCTGCATCATTTAATCATGATTAAGACTCTTGTGATATTTTGATGTATAACTTCATTTTCAGAGCAGGACTGACTCAGGACACTGAGCTAGTGGCACTCTTCAATTTGTGGAAAGCCTCTGGAATCATGAGAGAATATCAAGCATAAGACATCTTGCTCATGAGCAGATACAGGACATGGGGGGGTGAATAATGAATAGCAAATTTGGCTATCAATAGGAAGAGCAATTAGAATGCCATTAGGCTCTTAAAATAATTCAGTGGCAAAACATAGCTATGCAATTGTAATCTTGTTTAGTATTGTTTCCTAGTATTGTCAGGAGTAAAAGGAGAGGTTGGAAGAAGAACAGAAATCTTCTGCTAGTTCAAAACTATATCACAGACTAGTATGGATTGGATTTGGGAAGAGAACATTCCTAAAAACATATTTGAAGGAGGCACTAGTTTTTAGTCACTTATAGTGAAACCAGACCAGACTTTCAGCTCTTGTCAATACAAATATTTGGAATACCTGACAGGTAATGTTCAGCACCATCAGATGAGTTGAATCACCAGAATTTTTTTTAGAGGGGGAGAGAGAAACAGTCTTTAATTTACAGGGAAAGGTTATAAAATCCCTTTTCTATGTTCTGTTTTTTTCCCCTTAGGCCTCACCTGATCCTGCACATGTTCATTTTTAAACATAATTATTTTTTATCTACCCTTTTTGTATAGTCTTTTATAATTACTATTTCCTTTCTTACTTTCCATTTTTCTTTTGTCTCCCCACTTCATCCATTACTTTCTCTTTTTGGTAACTTTTCATTGTGCTATCATTCAGCCACAGAAAATAATTTTAAATAATAATTACATCTGCAAGGAAACATCTATTTCTTGCAGAACTTCTGGCAAAACAATTAAGATCCACAAGAAGATCATCTATGAATTTAGAAAGTTAGAGAAAATTTCACATTGAAGATCAACCTTGATGACTTGGAATTTTAAACAGTTCATAGAAAGAGAAGGTGAAGAAGAAATAGTAGTACTACTGTAGTAATAGTTCGGTCACAAAAACCTAATAAAAGTGCTGTGCAAAATATTTTGACTCAATCCTATATCTATATCTTCAAATGGATATAGACATCAAAATTCTTCTAAAATAGCTGATTAATTTTAGCTTGCAACTAACAGCTATTTCTAATCTCATACTGTGGGTATCTCTTACTAGCAGCTGCAAATAGAACTTTCCCCCCTTGTAAACATAGCTATGATCTAATTCAGGTCATAAATAGCTTTTATTTTAAACCAGAGGCAAAATTACTTTTATATTATTTGAAATTTATTTATGAGCTGTAAAAACTCATGGTTTCTAATGTTTAATAAAACTAACATGAACTTTGCTGGTAATTCATTTATACCTGCTGTATTAAATGAAAATGCCAATGTACTGTAGGTATAAATTAGAATATTTTCCATCATCTACACATGCATTTACATGCAACTAAAATATATGGACTCATACAAGTGCCTTTCTTCCGGACTAATTTATTTTTAAAAAAATAATTAAAGGGTTTTCAAAATAGTCCATGCCTTGATATGTATGATTGAAAAGATTACTTAGCAATGAACAAAACCAACAAAATCCTATTTAAGTTTGACATGAGGAAGGCTGAGAACATCTGTGCTGTCTCCTGGCTTGCAAATGCTTTGAGATGATCTTGACATTCCAGTCCTTAGAGAGTCAGTAGAGAGAGTTGTTTCCACTAATGGGTGGGAAATGGCTTCAAAAGTTTCATTTTCTCTCTCTGTTTCCAAATCTTCATCGGTTATAAATAATTTTGATTCCCTCCATTTGCTATATAGTTCTTGGCTACTTCTTGAACTACTGGTATCACTTCCAGAAATCTGTAGATTCAGTTCTTCAGCTGTTGACTGTATAAGGTTTTGTACTGACAATGATTTTCCTATATCCATTTGTACTATTGGTTTCACGGAGACTAGAGGTTCACCCTCTGTATCAAGGCTTTTTCTCCACGAAAGATCCTTTGTCACACTGGACTGTGCACTTTGTCCATTATCCTTTGAGGCAACAAGGCAAGCGGTGACATCAGAAGTATTTTCCTGTGTGTTAACGGGAATAAAATGAATAGGCTCCAGCCTATTGATATGCTTTACTGATGAAAAGGGGGGTATCTGTAATGTAGTGGGTGCTGTTGGTTTAGATGTCTGGTTTATTTGGTTTAGTGCATTATTAGTGGACAGTGTTACAGGTCCATCGCTTGGCACCTGTGTGGCTTGACTATGCATAGTTGGACTAAAGGCATAGTAAGCTTGAGTGTTGAACTCATTTGGTGTCAATATAAGCTGTAGGCCACATGGCATGTTGACACTGGCTGATCTGGAAACAGATCCACTAGTCTGAGCAGAATTAGACAAATCTTTACTATCTACAGGACTCTGATAACCAGAGGTTTGATCACATTCAAAAGGTGGCATTTGAAATGAAGCCAAAGTCAATGCAGACACAGATCCTTTCTTCAAAACCTGTTGATAAATGTCTAGTAATGAATCTAATTTTGATTCAATAGATTGGACCTAGAGATAGAAGGAAAAAAAAGTTTACAATAAACATAAAAAAGTTCATAAACTAAGATTCATGCCATTAAAATAACATTTGTAACATACAATTTATATTTCATCATATATGATATATATTTTACACACACACACACACACATATATGTAAAACATTTTTAATCACAAAATAACACACATTTTGCAAAGGAAAAATGTGAATTTTGTTCAATTATTACATTTTTTTATTGCAAAAAATAATTCTTATCAAAAACATATGATTCAAGTTGTCATTCATTCTAACTAGCCCTTAATAAATTATATTAAAATCATGGAAATTCATGAAATATTTCTGTGGATCACTTAGGATATGAATTGCCACCATTCAGATTCATTCTATGTATATTCTATAGCAATGGAAGAATGACATAATTGTGCAAAATGCCATTGTCACTCTGGACTTCAGTAAAATAATTTAGCACAATCATCTTGTTGTATGAATAAATGGAAATTACTTTACCTAGCAAATATTAATGATGAATTTTATTCCTGAAATAGTTAAGTAACATAAAGCAGCCTCATGATCTTTAAGTTGTATTACCTGTTTTTCCACCTTGACTACACGCCCTAACATGCTAAGGTCATCAGTTGTCTCATTCTCTACAGTATTTTTCTCTCGACTTCTTTTATCAGTGGTAATTTGTCCCCTTCCAAGAATCTGATCAACCCTGCAAGATAGTTAAATATAGAGATATGCAAAAGGTAATAATGCATTCATTTGGAGACTAAGTATTCTTGTGTTATTGTAAGTTATTGGGCATATATATATTCTTAGATTTTTATTTAGGGTGCACATATTAACATGACTATTTTTAATACTTTCCATTGTTATAATTTCTAATAATCTAAATAGTTTATCTAAATGTGACCGAGACTAACAAATGTGTTTGTTTCTGCTGTATACAGTGCTCTCTGTTACAGATGAGTTATTGATGCTGCCAGATTTTTTTCTCTGAGTATGCTGGGAAGGAGTTGCCAAAATCAACTTGCAACTTTCCAGTGATCAGAGTTGACAAAGGTTAATAATACTAGAAAAGTTTTAGTGGATATAAATTAGGTTGTAGGGAAGAAGGGCACAGCTAGCAAAAACAGAAGAAATATGTCTACCACAAAAAAATTAAGTGTCTTAAAATACATGACTCAGCTTATGTGATACTACAAAAGGATTTTACATGATGAGACTCCTTTATAAAAGGACTTTTTGTCCTCTTACCGAGACTGAAGACTTTTAATTCTACACAGCATATCCAGATGACCTGCTGAATACTGTTCAATGACATCTTTGACATCATAGGGACGTAAAGTTTCTTTAAACTTCCTTTTGGCAACGTGAAATTTCATGATTCTATAGAAGGAATATTATCCCGAATCATTAATTCATATATTTTTTATGCATTTAAAAAGCTGACAAAAATAATTCATTCTGATAGGATCACATTCAAAATACTGTATACAATGGACTAAATTCTAAACTGGTTAAGGATGCTAGTTTTTCTTCTTGACAACCATGCAAAAATTACTTGTACTTAAGATGCTAACCTCCATAATTGAGTTGATAATTAATATGCCTGTGCAAACCCTCCAAATAGTTGGCAAAACATTGATAATTAAATTAATTATTCTATGAACGTGCTTACCTTGAAGAATGAATGCAGTCTATAGCATGAGAGAAAATCATGTATAGATTTAAAAACTTTTATTCTTACTCATTTCAAATCTATATCTCAAATCATTCAATCAGGTTCTACACAGATATGTATAATATACTGTAAAAGTCAAATTATATGTGAGGTCCCCAGCATGAATCTCATAAGCAGCAGTGGCTTAGAAACACTAACCTTGGTGCTTCTCAGTTTCCCTGCTGCACTCAGTTTTTACATTAAAATAAATATACTAAGAAATAGCAACAGCAACTGCTTAAAATGGAAAGCTGACCAGCTGTCAAGCAAAGTACCAGTCAACTTCATCCTCATCTATTCCAAAAAAATCTGTGGATTCAAATAGGCTGCATTAGCATTCTTAGAAAATAAAAAAGATGGTCAGTGGGTGGAGTCCAGTGCATTGTTTGAAAGAGCTTATCTGGGCCAACAAAAGAGAGAGCAAAGATCAGGAGTGGAAGGGAGGGCCATGAGAGGTGTGGGAGAATTTTCTTGGGGTATGTTTGAACTGGAGACGAGGCTGCATTATACTGAAGCACAGACTGAAGGAGAATTAAGGGGGGGGGGAGCTCAAGCCAAAAGCCCCCAAGCCCAAATACATTTTCCCAGGGAAACTAAAACTATTAGCTGAGCCATAAAACAGTTAGAATGGTAAAGAATGCTGATAAGCTGGAAAAAGATACTAGGAGGTAAGCAAAGCTCTGGGAAAGCAAAAGAAAGTAACTCCTTAGAAAGAAATTCTCCTCGAAATACCTCTTCTTTGTTCCTTCAAAACCCTATTGTTGTTGTAGTCCCTAAGGGCCTCACTGACCACATTAGGCATGTGATACGTTGTATCCAATCAAATATCTTGCTGTTGTATCCAATCACATGTATATACTAATTTGCATAAATCTATTAAAAGGGACTATAACCCCTCCCCTCTTCAGGCCTACCTTTGTCTCCAGCACTATCAATAAGCCAATTTGTGCTTCAGTGAAAAGTGTCCTGATCTTGGTTCATGTAAGTTTTTGACTCCTGGTGACTGCCTAGACAAATCTCTGCAGTTTTCTTGGCAAGGTTTTTAGAAGTGGTTTGCCCTTGCGTCCTTCCTAGGGCTGAGAAAGAGTGACTGGCCCAAGGTCACAAGGTGGCTTTGTGCCTAAGGCAGGACTAGAACTTACAGTCTCCCCGTTTCTAGCCTGGTGCCTTAACCACTACAACAAATTGGCATTCTCTCCCAAACTGGCGCACTCTCGGTTCATACATATCCCTGGGAAAATCCTCCTATAGAGGTGAGAAGAGGGGATGGAGAGAATCCGCATCAGTCTGCCTTCTAGAGCTTTTGGTACAGGTATGCCCACCGTGAGAACCATTTTATGCATTTGCCTATGTCATGGCATCCCTGCTACACCCAACGGCAGGAGCCCTGTGGGTTGAACGGTGATTCTGCCCTAGTTATAAAAAGGGTGTGTGGTGAGATCCTAAGCATCAAACTTATACTGTATGGGCAGTAGAAGTGAATCCTTCTTGCAGCTCTTACTTAGTAATTCATTCCCATCCATTTCTCCCCTCTCCTTCCTAAGTTAACTCGCAACCTGAATATAAATGCAGCTGTGGAAAAGGGCAGAGGAGCGAAAGATGATGGCACTCTAAGTCACAACTCTTTCCTGTGCTTTAGATGTAATTAAATGAGCATTGCGTTTGAAGATAGGGACACCTATCTTCCAGCATTTCTATTTAATTACTTTTTGTTGTTGATTTTTAACACTATTCTAAAATGTCCCTAAGTATGCCTCTAAAACTTTCCCTTTTCAGTTCCCACTCATTCAAATAAAAGCAATCTTGAAAGGCTTGACTGCTTGAATCAGCTTAATTATAATTAAAAAGGAAAAGGGAGGAAATCAGTCATGATATATATGTTAAGAAGCCATTTCCTAGTGTTAGCATTGTTCAAGAATTTTATCAGCAGAATACCACAAATGGCAATTGATATTATTTTCAGTATAATAAGGTGGTAATAGATTACACAAATAATGATAAATGCTTTTCCATTTAATGACATGATCTAGCCAAATGTAACACATTGTAATGATAATTATTTGTGATAGTAAATTTAGGAACGTGCTTAAATTTTTACTATTAATATCAATGGCCTTAAAAATAACTTAAAAATTATTTTACAATATTTTGCTGCATTGTAGCTATATACAGGTAGTCCTCGACTTGCAACCATTGTTCAGTGACCATTCATCATTCAGTGACTGTTTGAAGTTACAATGGTGCTGAACGAATTATGGTTACAACTGGTCCTTGGAGTTCTGGCCATCCCAGCACCCCCACGGTCAAGAGATTGTGAGCTGGGCACTTGGGAACCGGCTCGTACAGTTGCAGTGCCCCGCAATCACACAATTGCTATTTGTGACCTTCCCTGCTGGCTTCTCCAGAAAGCTAGTGGCAAAGCCATCAGGCAAGGTTGCAAGTCACTGGGGTAACTCTTCCCTACCCACACACCCTCCCCCAGCCCTTCTACGTTCGCGCCATGCTGGCCACTTGTGCACCCCTATGCACTGTCCCTGAACCTCATGTGCCTCCCTCACAACCATGTGCACTCCCATGCACCCTCCCAATCTTGTCACACCTCCCTTGCATCTTCGCACACCCCCATGCACCCTCCCTGACCCTCTCCACACCTCCCTTACACTCTTGCGCACCTCCGTGCACTCTTGCTGTGCCTCTCACCCTCACACCCCCCATGCACCCTCCCCATCCCTCATCACACCTCCCTCGCACCCTGGCAACCTCCCCCACCTTGCAGCAGCCACTTACCTGCCTGCTGGCCTGCTTGCAAACCGCCTGGGACTGACTTGGTTATGGGAAGCCGGCAGGAAGTTGCCACACCTAACAACCGTGGGATTTGGTTAACAATCAGGACTGCAGATTGCCGTCGCTAAGCGCTGTGGTCTTGCTTTATGACCACATCGCTTAGTGATGGAAATTTTGGTCCCAATTACCATTGTAAGTCGAGGACTGCCTGTACAGTAATATAGCAGGTTGGATGCTCTCCTTACTGTCATGCATAACCTTCTGTTTTGATCAGAAGATTTCAAAGTAGAAATTATTGGAGAAGGATATTTTCATATTACAGACAGTATTTCTCATTACCATTTATAGACTGGTCTCAAGGAAAAATTCTTGAATAATTGTACTAAAGTATCCCAAAATTATGCCATACAAACTTCTCTATATTTAATATGTGTCAATCTGGGGAGAATTATGCGTATGACATACCTCATATTTGTCTCCCAAGAAAATATTATTTCAACAACTGTAGTCTGAATTAGAATTTTATACTAGATAAAGAACATGACATGCTGTTATCCAAAATTTGTTTTTGCAGGAAATAAAATGACTGAAGAGTAAACTTATATAGCTGCTAAAGTTATTGAAAATCAAACACTTTTTTTCTTATCCATAGTACTGTATCTAATGTTTGGTTTTGGGAGCCTGGGAATTTACATAATAATACTTTTCAAACTTTTCCACAAGGAAGAAAAATCATTTAGAAAGCCTCCCATTCCTATTTTTCTTTCTTTCCCAGAATATCTTAACACATCTCAATGTAATAGCCTGAACAATTTAATTTCAAATTAAAGAACTGATTGTTCCTATTTTATATGATTGAAAGGAAAAAAAAGTGTAGTGAATGACAGCTGTATGCTGTTTTGTAAGCAACAGTCTGGAATCCAGTATTGTCTTCTAAGCTGTTTGTCATGTAATATACATGCTTTAAATTTCAACATTTCATTGTAAAAATAAAAGGGTAAACTTAAATATATAATTATATAAATACCTGTTTTATTGATAATGTAAGGTGGAAAGAATTGATACAAAATCCACTATCTCAGCTAACAGATATATAGTAAATTCAGTTTCCACATCAATGTATAAGCAATGTGTAGTATGTCATAGAACAGTGTTTTTCAACCTTGGCAACATGCTGGCTGGAGAATTCTGGGAGTTGAAGTCCACATGTCTTCAATTTGCCAAGGCTGAGAAACACTGTTGTAGAATCACAGATTTTTAGCAATATAAGGATCATCTTTAGTCCAGCCCCCTGTTCAGCTCTTTTGGTATAGTATCTGCTTATGAAAAGTCTTACATGTAGTTTTGGACTGTGCTAATGAAATCAATAGGAGTGCTTCTTAAGTGTACTTTTTTCTTACCTGATAGCTCGGATAACTGTTTTAAGTGCTGGGGTTAGATCTTCTACTGACACATCACACTGACATCCTCTTTCATCATATATGTCATCAGTACCAAGACTGGCATCAGCTTCAAGAGAGAAATTCCACATAAACAATACGCACAGTTATAGAATGCAAGTCTATATGAAGTTATTAACTGCATCTGTTGAGTGTGAAATACACTAAAGGAAATGTTTTAACTGAACCAATGTAATACAAAAGGGTTTCATTGCAAACAATATGATTGCAGGGAGTTTTTCCTCCTGATTTCAATAATGCACATAAAAGTCTGTTTTTTTTGTTTTTTTTTAAAGAAGATGGGAAACTGTCAGTATTTAGATGAGATATGCATAACAGTCCCACTGGGATGTTGGATCAGTTAATTCACCTTATTCTAAGTCTAGTGGCAGACCATCTTAATATGTAGATTTCTGTTGTAAGACGGAGAAGTAGTTTCAAATAAACAGAATATGGGAAGGAATGTTGAATGTTGAAAAGAGGAGGATGAACTAAATGGATTCCACAATCATCTTAGACCTGCATGGATCAATCAAATATATTTAAACTACAAGTAGCAGGAGATAACCAATATATCACAGATACTTGCATATAACAAACTTCACTTTTTTATATATATGCAAGGCTGAGGTTTTGAATGCCTGTTATGTTTTGCTGCATAACTACTGTATTGCTTTTACTTATGGCATAAGTAAGAAACTTTTTAGGCCAGCAGGCACATTTGGAATTTTGAGAAAATGGTTGCAGGCAATTAAAACAAACTGTCTGTGATGCTCTGGGAAAGGTTTGTCTATTCATACAACGGTTGCTATAACAGGCAAGGCCACTCATGAAACAACTGTTTCCCAGAACATGGAGGAGGTTCCTCACTGCTTCAGCCTCCAGGATGCTCTTTACCACCCAAGGTTACCTGTGTCTTTAGTTTTGGGCGCTTGATACCCTTCCAAACAAAGCAGTGGGTTGCTATTCTCCAGCGTGTTTATTTTCTGAGAAGATGGGCCTATGTAGGCATACAAATAGATGATGCTTTAAGCAAAGACTTTGCTTTTGTAGCCTGCCAGTGTCCTGTTTAAGGTTTTAAAATGTAAACATCTAAAAACATGCACTGAGGTGAGATAGGAAGCCTGATGGATAGGAAAGGAGGTGAGTGCAGGGACTTTAATAACCATGGCCGATATTACCTCCCCATGCTCTGTGGAGTTCATGTACATGTATACAGTACTTCTGTAACACCTCTACTTAAAAACATGCTTTTCAAATCTTGCCTTTTTTTTTGCCAATTTTTTTTAAAAATTGAGCTTTGTAATAGGTGTCTGAATGTAGTGTGCTTGCTATCAAGCAGTCCAGACTGTAGATAGCAGTCCAAGCTGTGTCCTTAGCACATAGATAATAAATACTGTACATATTTAAACAATATTGTAATCAATTGGGAATATGCTACAGGAATAGTCAGAGTCAAAGCTGATTAAGGGAGAATCCTAGTTAGCCATAATCAAGCTTGATGGCACTGCTAAATTAAGCTTAGTGTGTATTTCTAATCTGCAAAGGTGAGTGCAGTGGGAAGGGAATATATGAGCTCCCAACCCACTCCTAATAGCTTACTGAATCATGTCTGTTAAGGTTATGTTTAAACTGACATTTGTTATCATAGCTTTTCCTTGGTCCTCCCTAAGAGAAGGGGGAGAGGAAGAAGCAGGATTGCTTATTGTGATGCAGGGCTCAGATTGGCAGAGAAGCTGAAACAGAAGGAATCTTTGCAACATCTTTCAGCTCTACAACTCCAATCTGATCTGCTGCCTCTGAGTCCTAAATACTATTCCTGCTGTAAAAGAGAGAGCTGAATGGCAAAGAAGCATCAAGTTGAAGAGCCAGGCCCCTGGCAGAAACAATCTCCCTGGGAATCAGAGTCATCATGGATGCCAGCTGAGCCAGGAAGGGGCTGGGAGCTTTACAAGGCAGAGATTGAGGTGGTTCTGCCTTGGAACACAGAGAATGGCATGAGTAACTCTTTGGGTCTAGCATCTTGATGGGATTGATTTACTGGCACTAGAGCTTGGCTAGCTAATTGTCCAGGCCCTCACAGTTCCTGGACCTCCAGAGGGGAGTGCAGCTTGGAGCTATTTTGTTTCATTAGTCTCAGCAATAAAAACTTGAAGTGACAATAATATAAACCAGCACAAAAAGGAAATGCAGTTCCTATTCTAGAGTTTAATAAATACATTTTTAAAAACAAAGTTGTATAACAAATGATCAGCCTTTCACAGTTACTAAAGCATTTCCTTGATATAGCTTGGAAAGTTTCATGAAAAGAAAATCAGCTTGCACTGCTTTCTATGCAATTCACAATTAGGTGTATTTATGATATACGCTGGAAAATTCTTCTAAAACTATCAACAAGTGGAGAATACTGATCTCATTAAGTCATCCCCTTTCTATTTAATAACTTCTCTATAATCATGAGTACCCTTATGTTATATCAGGTTTTTACTACCCAGGGTCAGAGTTGCTGCTATAAATTCTATCTGATCTGGAAATCTGGATGCTTCCTATAGCAATTAAAGGGCTTCTCTAAGACATGGAAAGTATCTTCTGAATAGAATTTAGGAAATTTTCTACTTGAAATATAGACCTTGTCCAATGGTATTTAATAGGATTTTATATTGTATGCATATATTTTGTATATATTTCATAGTATATAATTATATACCCAATAATAACAGTCAACATTGCATGATAAAATGATTTTGTATCTTATGGCAGCTTTTTTCAATGTGGTGCTTTTCAGATGCATTAGATTTCAGCTCTCATTAGGAATTATGGGATCTGAAGTCCACTATTATCTGGAGACTGCAAGGTTGGAGAAGGCTTCCCTACAGGTTAACATATTAAACCTGACTAACTTAGTTTATGTATGCATTATTTATTTTCAGTAATATCTTTTGCAGTTTAATTCTGGCAATAATTTTGGAACTATTAATGCACTTTAACTACTAATGCTGTGCTTTCGAAGTTATCAGTAGTTAAGGCATATCATTCTAGATAACAGAAATACTTTTATCAATCTACTTGTTGAGAGCTACCAGATGTTGGCATTAATCAAGCACTGATTAAGATCTAAAACTTAATTTCCCTGTAAGCCCACTGCAGCTGCTATTTGATCCTGGGAAAAGATGCACCTCTTGAAAGAGTTGCAGACAGGTGCTATATTTATGTCCCCCTGCACTCTGAAGCACCATTTAGGAGTGGAATCTGAAGTATTGCATAGCCCCAATTGTATATCAAATGCATGCTTTGGATACCCTGTTCCAAAGTGAAAGGTGTTGGCAGAGAGATATGTACATTAAGGGAAGTATTATGGTTCAGTGCCTGAGGGTCCCAGTTTGGATGTATGATGTGCCAGGAAGCTTAGATGTGTTAAGTATGAGTATCTGTTTGACTCTGAAGAGTATAAAAGAGCCCTGACCTACTTTCTTTCCTTCACCCTTTCATACCTTTTTAGATTTGCAGCTAAGTTATTTTGAAACAGACTGCCAATAGCTAATCACAAACAAGAAGGTGATGTAAGTTAATTGTAGAAAAATGACACACTTATGCAGGCAGAGGAATTGTGAAAAAGAAGGCAATACCATCTCATATGGAGAAGTGGGATAAAAAATAAATTAAGAGGGATTAGCTGGGAGACAAGGAGATGTGATATCACACTATAAGTTTTTAAAAAGGAGAGACAGCCAGAAAAAGGGAGAGGAAAAAGATTCTAGGCTTTGCCTCCCAGGAACAGACTGGCCTGTTGGTTCCCACTTTCTCCAGTATCCGTCTTTCACTCGATCCTACCTCTGAAAGACTGACAAAGTACAGTGCTATGGGACTTTGCAATGGATGGTGAGAACGGATGGCAATAGCATACAAGTTGAGTACGCCAGGAATATTTAAGAGAGTTTTTCCCATGCCCTGCTTCTTTTTTCCCATACCTTCTGTCCCTTTCCTTTCCCTAATCTGGGATGCTAAACTGCATCAACTTTAGGTGCTTAATTTTATAATTGTTTCTCAAGGTAAATCAAGCCACAGCAAAAGAGCAAACCTGGTATGATTTTAAGTCCTGATGCTTACAATTTACTGAAAGAACATGAATGGATATAATCTGGATGTGTATGTGGCATGGCCGTGTTGATGGAAGAGAGTGTGTGTGCATCTGAGTAAGTGATAATTCAAAAGATCAGGAAACTGGTAGTCCCCATTCAGTAGTCAGAAGACTACCAGGCCCTCGGCAGTGATAAATCTAGTGGGCCTGAGGGTCCCCAGTCAGTGGGCAGAAGATCATCAGTCTTTCCATGGTTAGAGATGTGCAGGGAGGTTGTTGTTGTTGTTTAGTCATTAAGTCGTGTCGACTCTTCGTGACCCCATGAACCATATTG